AAAGCATAGAGTTGGCTTTTTTTTTCTTTTTTCTTAGATATCAAAGTTAAGTTGTTATTAAAATAATCTGTTATAATGAAAACATGTTCTTTAGTTGTTATTAAAATAATCTGTTATAATGAAAACATGTAAGCCTCATAGTTAGCACACAAAAACTTATGAGACATACTAAAAATAAATAGTGAGAAATCAAAATACACTACTAGAGAAAATCATTCAATCACCAAAGAAGGCAGTAAGACAGGAAAAAAGGAAAAAGGATCAACAACAAGAAGAAAAACAGAAAAAAATGGCAGTAACAAGTCTCTGTATATCAATAATTCTAAATGTAATTGAATTAAATGTCCCAATTAAAAGATGGAGGGCTCAACAGAGGTTCTTAAAACAAGAATCAACAATATGCTGCCTACAAGAAGCTCACTTAATAGATAAATATGCACACCATCTTCAAAAGGGATGGAAAAGGATATTTCATGCCAATGGAAACTACAAAAGAGCAGGAGTAGCTATACTTACCTTAGATAAAAAGACTTTGAGCCAAAGAAAGTAAAAAAGGGTGAGGAAGGTCATCATATAATGATAAAGGGATCAATTCAACAAGAGGATATAACAATTCTAAATATATATGCACCCAACTCCAGAGCACCCAGTTACATAAAGCAATTACTATGAAATCTAACAAGATAAATAGACTCCAACACAAGAATAGCTGGAGACTTTAAAAACCCACTTTCAGCAAAGGACAGATCAACTGGACAGAAAGTTATCCAGGAAACATCAGAATTAATCTCTATTTATCTATTTAGGCTGTTGGCCAGCATGGGGATCCTAACTTTGACCTTGGTGTTATAACACCATGCTCTAACCAATTAAGCTAACATTACATTTTGTAATGATGAATATGCTAATTATCCTGATTTGATCATTATATATTGTTCATCAGTATTGATAGTCAACCCTGTACCCCACAAATATGTATAATAAATTATGTTTCAATAAAAAAAATAAACTCACCCCCCCAATTTTTTTTTTTAAATCTCTATTCTAGGCCAACTGGACCTAATGGACATACATAGAACATTTCATCAAACAGCTGCAGAATATACATTCTTCTCAGCAGCACATGGAACATTCTCAAGAATAGACCAGAATACACATTCTCATATGTTAGGTCACATAAGTCTGAAGAAATTTGAAAAAATTGAAATCATATGAACTACCTCATCCCACTGCAGTGGAATAACACTAGAAATCAATAACAAAAGAGACATTAGAAAGCAAACAAATACATGGAAATTAAAAACATGCTCCTATACAATGAATCAGTCAAAGAAGAAATCAAAAATTAAATTAAAAAATTCCTGCAAATAAATTAAAATTAAAACACATCATACCAGAACATATGCGATAAAGCAAAAGTAATTCCAAGAGACAAGTTTATAGCAATAAATGCCTACATCAAAAAAAAAGAAGAAAGCCTTCAAATAAATAACCTAAGATTACACCTCAAGCAGCTGGAAAAATAAGAACAAACCAAACCCAAATTAGTAGAAGGAGAGAAATAACAAAGATTAGATGAGAAATAAATGACTTAGAGATTTAAAAAGCAGTACAAAATATCTATGAAATAAAGAGCTGATTTTTTGAAAAGATAAACAAAACTGATAAACTTTTAGCTAGACTAAGAAAAAAAGAGAAGATTCAAGTAAATGAACTGATACCACAAAAATTCAAAGGATCATAAAAGACTACTATTAACAACTATATGCAAACAAAGTGGATAAATGGATAAATTCCTAGACACATAAAATTTAACAAGATTGACTCATGAAGAACCAGAAAACCTAAACAGACTAATAACAGGTAGTGGAATTGAAGCAGTAATAAAAAGTCTCCCAACAAAGAAAACACCAGGAGCAAATGGCTTAACTCCTGAATTCCACCTAACATTTAAAAAAAAACTTATACCAATTCTTCTCAAACTTTTCCAGAAAATTGAAGAGGAGGGAATATTTCCAAACTCATTCTATGAGTACAACATTAACCTCATACCCAAACTGGAAAAAGACATAACAACAACAAAAAAGAAAACTACAGACTGATATCCGTAATAAAGAAAACTACAGACTGATATTCCCAATGAACACAGATGAAAAAATCCTCAATAAAATACTAGCAAACAGAATATAACAGCACATTAAAAAAGATTATTCCCCATAAGCAAGTGGGATTTGTCCCAGGGATGCAAGGATGGGACATACTGAAATCAATAAACATGATACACCACACCAACACAAATAAGTAAAAAAAAAAAAAAAAGACTATTTCAATAGATGAGAAAAAGTGTTTGATAAAATCCAGCAACCCTTCATGATAAAAACATTCAACAAAGCAAGAATAGAACAAATGTACTTCAACACAATAAAGGCCATGTAAGACAAACCCATAGCTAATATCATCCTGAATGGACAAAAATTAGAGACTTTTCCTTTAAGATCTAGAACAAGATAAGGATGCCCACTTTCCCCACTCTTATTCAACATGTTACTAGAAGTTGTAGCCAGCACAATAAGGTAAGAAATAGTAATAGAGTTTATCCTAATTGGATAGGAGGAAGTTAAACTATCCCTATTTGCAGATGACATGATCCTGTACATGGAAACCCTAAAGACTCCACCCCAAAATTACTGGAACTAATAAATAAACTCAGTATGGTGGCAGGATACAAAATCAACATACAAAATTTCATAGCCTCCCTATACACCAATAATGAAATAGTTGAAGAATAAATCAAGAAAGTAATTCCATTCACAACAGTTACCAACAAAATGAAATATCTAGGAGTAAATTTAACCAAGGAGGTGAAAGACCTCTCCAATGAAAACTATAAAACATTGGTGAAAAAAATTGAGGAGGACACCAATAAATAGAAAGACATCCCATGTTCATGGGTTGGAGGAATTGACATCATCAAAACATGCATATTGTCCAAAGAAATGTCTTTCAATGCCCAACAAAATCTGCACATTCAATGCCATCCCTATCAAAATACCAATGACATTCTTCACAGATATAGAACAGGCCATGTAAGACAAACCCATAGCTAATATCATCCTGAATGGACAAAAATTAGAGACTTTTCCTTTAAGATCTAGAACAAGATAAGGATGCCCACTTTCCCCACTCTTATTCAACATGTTACTAGAAGTTGTAGCCAGCACAATAAGGTAAGAAATAGTAATAGAGTTTATCCTAATTGGATAGGAGGAAGTTAAACTATCCCTATTTGCAGATGACATGATCCTGTACATGGAAACCCTAAAGACTCCACCCCCAAATTACTGGAACTAATAAATAAACTCAGTATGGTGGCAGGATACAAAATCAACATACAAAAATTCATAGCCTCCCTATACACCAATAATGAAATAGTTGAAGAATAAATCAAGAAAGTAATTCCATTCACAACAGTTACCAACAAAATGAAATATCTAGGAGTAAATTTAACCAAGGAGGTGAAAGACCTCTCCAATGAAAACTATAAAACATTGGTGAAAAAAATTGAGGAGGACACCAATAAATAGAAAGACATCCCATGTTCATGGGTTGGAGGAATTGACATCATCAAAACATGCATATTGTCCAAAGAAATGTCTTTCAATGCCCAACAAAATCTGCACATTCAATGCAATCCCTATCAAAATACCAATGACATTCTTCACAGATATAGAAAAAAACAATCCTAAAATTTATATGGAACCATAAAATACACAGTGTAGCTAAAGCAATCTTGAACAAAAGGAACAAAATCAGATGCATCCCACTTCCCGACTTCAAATATGCTATAAAGCTATAGTAACCATGGTACTGGCATGAAAATAGACAAATAGACCAATGGAACAAAATAAGAAGCCCAGAAGTGAGCCCCCATAACTTATAGCCAACTGATTTTTGACAGAGTTGCTAAGAATGTACATCGGGGAAAGGACAGTCTCTTCAATAAATGGTGCTGGGAACATTAGAATCCATATGAAGAAGATTGAAACTAGATCTCTACCTCTCATCATAAGCAAAAATCAACTCAAAATGGATCAAAGACCTAAATTTAAGGCCTAAAACTATCAAACTACTAGAAGAAAATATAGGCAAAACACTATGGGAAATGGGAGTGTGCAGCACTTTTTAAAGTGAGATTAAAAAGGCACAGGAAACTAAAGCAAAAATATGCAAACAGGACTACATAAAACAGAAAGGCTTCTGCACAGCAAGGGACACTATCAGCAAAGTGAAGAGACAGCCTACAGAATGGGAGAAGTCTTTGCAAGCTACATATCAGACAAGAGGTTAATATCCCGAATATATAAGGAATTCAAACAACTCAAAAGCAAAAAAATAAAAATAAAAAACAAGCAAACAAAAACAGGTAATCTAACTTACAAAAGGGCAAAGGACCTGAACAGACATTTCTCAAAAGAAGACATACAAATGGCTGAAAATCACATGAAAACCATGCTCAAAATCTCCAGTCATCAGGGAAATACAAATTAAAAACCACAAGGAAATATCATCTCACTCCAGTTAGAATGGCTATTACCAATAAAACAGAAAATGACAAATGCTGGTGAGGATGTGGAGAAAAGGGAGCCTCGTATGTTGCTCGAGGGAACATAAACTGGCATAGCCATTATGGAAAACAGTATGGAGATTTCTCAGAGAAGGGAAAATAGATCTACCTTATGACCCAGCTATTCCATTACTGGGTATATACCCAAAAAGACACCTACATTCCCATGTTCATCACAGCAGTATTCACAATAGCTAAGAGATGCAAGCAACCTAAATGCCCATCAATAGATGAATGGATAAAAAAACATGCTACATACACACAATGGAATACCACTCAGGCATATATATATAAAAATTATATCCAATCATTTGCTGCAACGTAGATGGAACTGGAAACCATTGTGTTAAGTGAAGTTAGCCATAAAAAGACATACCTCATGATCTCGATCACACGTGGAATCTAAAAAAAAAAAAAAGAAAGTGGTTTTCATAGAAGTAGAGAGTAGAATAAGGCCAGGACAAGAGGCAAAAAGGGGGAAGTGAAGTGGTGAACTAACGGGCATGAAACTATGCTACTTATCCTATGTGAATCATGGTGCAATATATGTGTATATTGGAACAACATACAGTACCCCACAAACACGTACAAGTAAACGTTAAAAAAAAATGTGGGGAAAAATGGTGCTTTTTCAATCTGAGTGCTTTGAATTAAATGAAACAAAAGGCCTCAGAAATTAGCCTCAGAACCAACATCACTCTTTGAATTTCTTCTGCCCTTCCTGTCTCTCTCATCCTATTTCTTTCCCAAAGTACCAGGAGGGACTCTCTCTGAAATTTCCTTATCTGACTAGGGAAGCTTTTTTCCAAAAGGAATGCAATTGTCTTAAGACCCTCTTCCTAGGAATCTCATCAAATAACTAGGAAAGATTAACCACAAGAGAAAAGAAGAGAATGGGAGTTTGTCACCAAGCCCAAACAGATGTTTCATCTATTCTTCTGAGGGGAGCTCTGAGAGACTATCTTGAGAGACTTTATCTGTGTAATAAGACAAGCTCTGTTCACAATAAAGTTCTGCCCCTTACCTTCCCACTACTTCCCCCAGAGCTCTGACGAACTTTGTTCCAGGACATTGTTCTTTGGGCTCATTCATTTTTTCTGAAAATATCTACTATTCCTCACCATTGACTACTGCCCGCCCCTCAACACCACTTTCCTATGAAAAGTGTATTTAAGCCTCAACCATTTCACTCTTCTTTGAGTCACGTATTTGTAGAACTCCCATGTTCATATGCATGGAATAAATTTGTTATTGTTTTTTTTCCTATTAATTTGTCTGTTGTCAGTCATTTCAGTAAAACTTCTTTCCCTCTGCCCCTACACACACACGTGTGTGTGTGCGTGCGCATGCGTGTGTGCATGTGAGTATACATGTATTGGTGCATACACATACACAAAAACAGACACGGCACCCACATAAATAATGGCCTTCACTGGGAAACTGCATTCAGACAACTGGATAAAAGTAATCTGATATCTCTAAATACATCATACCTAAACACTCTGTTCAATGAAAAAGGCCATGAATATCCAGCTTTTTCTCCCCACTAAGATCCATTCATGAAAAATGTAATGCTTATTTTGAAATTTCAGAATCAGAGGAAGTTGATTAAATAAAGAAGCACAAACAGTATGATATTGCCTTTTTTCCTGATAAGATATTCATCTCTTCCTAATTTAGTGCAGAATAAAGTCAGCTGACTTTGCTTACTTCTGTAGACTACTTAACCATTTATTTGGACTGAAAACCAGAACTCCAATGATCTTCATACCAACTTGTGATGAAAGACTTTTTCTTAACTCAGAAGTGAACTGGATTTTCATATCTCCATTTATTTTTTGAGCTGAGGTTTTAATTAAAGTTCTAAAAGTGAGATAGATTTGTCTTTTCGTTTTTAGGTAGTTTTAAACCCATGAAAATCTGTTACTCTCGTTGGGATGTTACAAGCAGTAGCAGTGTATTTAGTGAATCTAGACAACTTTGCAAGAAAGCAGGGAAAAGGAAGACCAGCCCATCCTAAACAGTCAGAAAGGAGGTCTCTCAGAAGCAATATGCATAATCTCTTACAAATTGTAAAGGATGTCAGCGGCCACATTTGATTGGTTGCCTCTTTCACTATTAGACATGTTAATTATACTTTTCATTATAATACTACGAGACAGGGATCATTCTTGTTCCTATGAAGAGGAGGTAATTACATATCAGGACAACTAAGAAATTAGGTGATGTCATCAAACTCTTCAGTGAGGCAAAATTCATCCCATTTCTTCTCTGATACAAATTTAAGATGCAACCAGCCCTCCAAGTACACAGCAGTGCCTTTCGTTCCCACTCCTCCTCCAAATGCCACATTTAAATTCAAACCTACAAACAGAGGTATTTCCAAACCTTCACACCCCTAGCCCCAGGAACCAAAGGTTTGCTTAAAGGAAAGTAAAAATACCTAAAAAAAAAAAAAAAAAGCAAAGAAATATGCATTTGCAGAATAATCCGATTCAGAGGTCAAGGGGCCTGCACACCTGAGATAAGAAACAAACCAAGAAACAGCACTTGTATTTCCTCATATTATGCCACAGTGTCTTCTTTTCTTTGATTGCAGTTTAAAGAAACTTGTTGATTCCAATAAATTCCTTTAATTCCCTCATTCCTTACACAAATTTCGGTCCTTAGGTTGCATTGACAAGTCATTTCCTGTTTTTCTCACTGCAGCATTTTGTGTTGTCACACAACAAACACCACATGTTTATCTGGATGTGACTTTTTAGGTGCACCTTGGAAGGCCCTTTTTAGAGTCCAGTGTTAGGAGGCCTGTTTGACATTCGAACCCAGCTTATAACCAGCTAAATGGACCTAACTTCTCTGAGCTTCAGTGAAGTATTTATACTTATATTCTGTGTACTTATCTACCTCCATACGTATATTCTATATATTTAATGGAATCAGAAGACTCCAGTGACATGATACAGGTGAAAGCATTGTGTAAAGCATGCAGTATTATTCACATTCAGTGATGGAGGTGACATTGCTCACTAGGAACAGGCTGATCAGCTCAAGCAGTAGTGTACACACACACACAAACACACCCCTAAATCACATATATATACATATACATACATACACCCACCTAACATACACACACTTAGACATACACACACAGTGTCCCAAAGAACAGAGAGCTTTCAATCTCTCAAGACAAATGGATCTTACCACACACTTTATAGATCTAATTCAACACAGAAAGGCTCCATTTTATTTTGACGGGGATGTGAAAAGGTCAAGTATTGATTTAGGTTTTCAAGAGAAGGCAAAAAATAAAAAGTCCTTTCTGAAAATATTTACTACATTCTGCTTTTATTCAGGGTTTCTGTGTGGAGCAGAGATGGTTTGAAACCCACAAGATGGCAAAGATAAAATGGGCCAGCTTATCAATGTGGTGTTAATATTGATTTTCCTTGTTCCTCTGACCTTTAATACACAAAACAGAAAATTCCTATATAGTTGCAAATGAGAAAACATGAGAAATGAAAATAAAGCAATCAAAAGCTTTATGTAATCCATAAGATATGTGGCATATTTTATGTTTATTCACATAAATAATATGATTTATAAGAGCACTTTCATGTAGACATATTGTTGTATAAAACATCAACACTCTGTTTTTGAGAAATAGGAGACTTTAGGGTCATCTTCCCAAACTGTTAAGTCCCTCCCTGCTACCAAAAGAAGTGTTTGCACAGACACATTAATATCTGAGTAAAATTTTAGAGATGTCTGTGACACTGGAAAGAAAAAAAATTTGGACCAGAGAAAATTTCACTTAATTCTCAAATTATCATCCCACTTGGCATTTATAAAGATAGTAGTAATTCCTATATATCTTTACTATGACTGCAGAAGTATTCTGTGCTTAATTCCAAAGTTATTATTCACCTAGGTCCTCAATCTATACTTTTATGTCCAAATATTTACGGCTACTTCTGTACTAGGAAATTTAATAAGAGTTACAAAAGAGTTTAAGTCTCTGGAATATGTTTGATTATACAATGGTATTGTTATAAAATAGTGCATACTAGGACAATATTTTAAAAATCTCTTTTTCTTGTTTGTTTACTTAGTGTTTTTGGCTAAATACCAAGCAAAAAAGCAGGTTGGTACACAGAACTGTTGCGGAAGCAGACAGATCTTGTTTTGAACCCCAGATGTAACCCTTTTGAGCTGAGTAACCTAAGATTTGCTACCCAATCTCAGTAAGTCTTCATTATTGATAAAATGAGACTAACAGTAACTACCTCACAAAAATACTTGTGGCAATTAAATGAGATAATCAATATAAACAGCTTCCTCTGTTACCTGCTCTCACTTCTCTTTAAAGGATTAGGGTAACACATACTTTATTCCTAGAAAGAAAGGTGAAGGCAATACACTGATTTACGGATTATTAAACTTAACCCTCAAAATGTACTACAGCCCGATAGCTACCCATTGCCTTGGGTCCAAATCCTAGCTTTGAAATAAACCAGCTGAGGGACCTTGTGTGAGTCATGTAAACATCCTCTACCTCAGTTTTCTGGACAATAATATGAAATAACAATGAGACATCTCATTGTGGTGGTGTAAAAATTAAATAAGTGAATACCTGTAATGTCTGTATCATGCTATGTTATTACGTTGAGGTATCCTTAACATTATAAAGAGTTTATTCCCACTGTACAACTTTTTATAGTAAAAAAATGATGCCCTTTTCAATCTCACATTAATCCTGAAAGTAGATTATCAAATTTTGAGACAAATTCAGTTTTTCTGGATTTTATCTTTAAAGCAGATAGTGTGAACAGTTATCTGGCCAGCAAGCCTGATTCCACTTCCCACTTTTTTCTGATCTTCCTTGTACTCTTGCAGGTGACAGTTGGGTCCCAGTTGTGTTCTTGGACATAAGGGGCAATAACTACAAAGCCCCAAACTGTTAGCCAATGTTAAGAAGAAATCTCTATTGCTCAGATTTTTGTCCTAACTCCTATCAAAGATTGAAAGGACTGATGAAATACAATGATGTTAGTCATTTACACTTTAGTTAAAGTGAGTGTTCAAAAACAGACTTTGATGGAAGGTGGGGAAGAGAGCACAAGGGCACTGAGGCTCTGGCTGAAGCTTGGTGATGCCATGGATTGGAGAGAGAGAAGATTAGGAAAGCTGGACAGGCAGGTTTAAGCCAACTATTGCTCACTTCCACATTTCTCTGCATGTGCCCATATTCCATATTGCCCAGGCTGATAAAGAAAATTACAGATCAATGTTTCAACATTTTATTGCTCTTGTGATTTATTATTTTTATATTTAGCTATGCAATGCTCTCTTTTTCAGAGTATAATATACATCATAAAACTTCTTGAATTATACAACATGTGCATATG